AAAACATAAAGAATCAAAGAGATGCACAAGACCAGTGATGGCGCGGACGGAAAGGTTTAGCCACCACGACATCTATTTGTCTGTTAACAATAATACGATAAAAGTTAGAGATCTCAGCCAGCACAAAAATACTCTTGTTCTTTGGAGATCAACTTAACAATTCTTTTGATAAACTATGGTCTAAAAGGACCTGAAGTTCGACCTGTCTCTCTTTAAATGATTAAAAGTGACCTTGTGGGGAACATATATACAAAAATAAAAATTGAATGAAAAAAGCCACCTAATAGCAGCTTAAAACCCCACTGTCTTAGGATTTCGATCAGAAACATTCGAGAATAGATAAATAGCATGCGTCAAGGCGACCGCTGCTCGCGCCGTCATATTATGTTGTGTCACGTCTAGACCAAATCACATAATTATGTACCAAGGAGTAGTATGCTGGGTATGGGAATCACTCTAATGAAATCACGCCTCTTTTGTATATATGGTTGTATCCTGGCATTGGGAATTGCGAGACTATGATAATAAATGGCCAAGCGTTACTCAGGCTGCGGCCCCAAAAAATTATCAATAATATGAAGAGTACACATTATTGGAAATAAATTTGAGACATAGCAGCAAGGAATACAGAATTCTTCGTTGAGATACCCAAATGATAAAAAGGATGTAGCGTGAACTTATTTAATACACTTTGCGAGATTTTATGTGAGTAAAAGACGGCATACTAAAGAAATGATAAAACACGAACACTATAAAGTCATGTTATGGTGAGTGAAGTCACATATCTATGGCTACCTTCAAACAAGATACTTTCGGAAACTATGCGATGTAAGCTACGGTCAGTTATACTTTACGACATGCACGTAGTGCCGTCACTACTAAATATAGCAAAACCTTGGCCCAATTCACTAAGAAGCGAAATAATGTAGAGAATTTTCAAAATAATGTTTTAAGGAGAGCATACTTCAGCAAAAGCAAACACCCTAGGGCCTTCTAAGAATAGAAATGTGAATAATTCTCAATAAACGACAGAATAAGTTTATAAAAAGTTAATGTATATCTGCAATATATATTAAGTTATGAAAACGAACCCTAGATCACATCGACAAGATGACATAATTATCATAGAACCACAACTTAAAAATGGAACAGATAATTGTGGAGACCCAAATGACACATTTAGAAAAATCTTGACCGATTCATAGAACATAAGACTATGCTCACCTTTATGACTGAATAGCAAGATCCTCAGAAAATAAGATTGAAATTTAAATTCTCGCAGGTCAGGTGTGCTCACACGCTGTATATGCCGGGATGAAGATTCTAGCTTCACTCGGAAAAATCAGATGTGAAGCAACAATGACAGCAGAGTTTCTGAAACAAGTGAACGATGCCTTTGATAAACTGAACGTGAGGTCATTTGGGAAGATATTAACATCAGACAATGACAAGCAGATGAAGACCATAGAAACACTGAAAGCTGAGGCTGAGAAATGGCACGTTATGAAGGGAAAGGAGTTCAGGCCACCATGTTTTGATGGCCTGATACAGAACATTAATGCGTTCGTTGCCATGCATGCCGACATTGTAATTAATGGTCCCTTGAAGTTCATACTTACTGGTAGGCTGAACCAAGACTGTATTGAGAACCTCTTCTCACAGATCCGCTCAAAAGGCAGACATAGGTTTAATTCATCAGCAAAAGATTTTCGATTCGCGTACAGAAGTGTCTGTTCAACCATGATCCTGGCACCAATTCCATCTGCCAACTGTACATACGACAATGATATAATGACCAGCAGTCTGTCCCAACTATCAAAAGAAGCTCAGAAAAAACGAACGAGAAACACTGAGCAGGAGTCGCCATCTAAGCGAGCTCGTGTTGAGGTAGACAGTGCTAAAACAGGCTTTGACATTGTTGGAGCAGCTGACTTTGAAACATCTGCAGAAGTCATGTTCTAACATATATAGGTGGATATCTAGTCAAAAAAATTCACGATGGGGGTTTCACATGTAACGAGTGCACGAATAGTCTGTTAAATACACACTCGAACATCGTAGAAGATGAGCAGATGTACCTACATCTCAAGGCATACAGCCACAGGAAGGGTGCATTTGGTGCCCTGAATGCACCATCACCACAGCTGACCTGTATTTTAAAGCAAGTTGAGAACATATTTGAACAGAGGATTGTTGGTCTCCTTGCTAGCACAAGCTGGCTGCAAAACCTAGAGCAGCAGGTGTGTAGTCGTGTTGCCTTTGACACTGTAAAAGTTTGTTCTGAACACACTTTTATCGTAAAGCAGTTGGTTCACCTATAACCGAGATGCCGTCTACATTATTATTTCAAGTTTGAAACACGAAAACTTCTACAAGAGAAAGCCAAGCGCAATAGGAAGGCTCAGGCAGTATTGCACGAATAACTAGCAGATGGGTGTCATTTCATGATAGCCAGACAATTTAGAAGATTTAGATTACGCGGCTACGTGGCGACGCGATTACGTGGCTACGCGATTACGCGGCTACGTGGCGACGCAATTACGCGGCTACGTAGCTACACGGCGACGTGGTTACGCGGCTACGCGATTACGCAGCGACGCGATTACATGGCAACACTATTAATTGTTAATTAGTAGGTTAATTATTACATTTGTTGTCGTTTATGTAAACTTCGAATCACTGGTTCAGTGGTTGTAGACTGCTCTTTCTGTACAAACTAACAAATAACATGTATATAAATATAATTACAACATTCAGGGTTTATTCATTTCTGTATTACATGATCATACATGAGCAAAATTAGTAGGTTAATTATTACATTTATTGTCGTTTATGTAAACTTCATTTTATTGGTCCCAGTAGTCAGTACACTTACCTTAGCTAGGCCGTACACTACAACTACAAGTACAACTTCCCGTCACTATGATAGTATTACTATTACTATTAGTAATGTAAATAACCTGACAAGACTGTATTGCTGTAAGATCACAGATTCTACAGAACGGCTACTGACCACCGCCCGGTATGTAAACAAATTTGTAAAGCTCCATTTACGCTTGTTTAATACTTACTTATAGTCATTAGTCTGCCCATAACAAAATACGACTTTCCTTTTAATTAGATCACCTCCCGATGAAACAAATTTCAGTTGCGGCTCGCGATTATTTAACAAATCAAATGACAAACAATAAGAAACTTTCCCATGGTTTAACATAGATGCCATGCTATCAATCCAACGACAGCTTACGGCTACTACGTGGCGCTAGCATCTCTAATCCAAAATGGAAAAAGGCCAAGTGACCGTGCTCGGTGATGTATATGCTCTGGTAATTCCCACCTAATCTTATTGCCGTCTCTAGTCGAAGTCACAGAGCAGCACAAAATTCTTTGCTGGCTAGAAAACCTCGTTACCTCATAATGCCGTTGTAGCTATAGTTGAAGCCACATACAGGTTATTACGTCCGCGCCTAAAGAGGTCAGTGTATCAGCACACGATGGTGCAACCCCGCCCTTTGATTATAATTCACTCGTGGACCACGTTCAGGATTCTCGCCATCGAGCAACGCATCTGAAATTTTTATGCCATCATGACAGCTCATTTGCGCATACGGACGCTCAACTAGGGTGTACGCACCTCTGCGAATTTCAGATTCATACCGCAGATGCCAAACCGTTCAAAACAAGGCCCTACCGTATGTCCCCAGAGCAACAAGTCATTGTTCAGCAACAGGTTGACAAACTGATGGAGAACGGAATAATTCGCCCCTCCATGTCACCTTGGTCATCCGGCGTACTTTTGGCTAAGAAAAAAACTGGCGAGTATCAAATGTGTGTTGATTATCAACGATTAAACTCAGTTACTGTAGGGGACACTTACCCTCTGCCCTTCATTGAAGATGTGCTACAAACAATAGGAAAAGCTACAATATTTAATACCCTCGACCTCAAGAGTGGTTACCATCAAATCCCGTTAGCGAAGAAGGACGCTCCAAAGACTTGCTTTGTAACGCCCTCTGAAAGCTACGACAATTTACGAATGCCCTATGGACCCAAGAACGCACCCGCCCACTTTCAGCGTATCCTCGATTACGTCCTGCAAGGGCTCCATCACAAATGTGCGCTCGCCTACATTGACGATGTCTGTATTTATTCCCCGGACTTTGAAACCCACATGTCCGACTTGGCGGAAGTTTTTGCCAGATTCGACGTGGCTAACCTCAAGATGCGTCCCAGCAAGTGTATGTTTTTGCGTAAGTCCACAACTACCTGGGTCACGTAATAACCCCAGGCTGCGTCTGACCCGACCCAGAGAAGATCTCTGCGGTCCAAAATTGGGCTGCCCAAACACGCCCACAGCTGTTCGGCAGTTTTTAGGATTTGCCAACTACTATCGTAAGTTTATTAAGGGCTATGCCGATATTGCCCGCCCATTAACCCTACTCACCCACAAAGACAAACCCTTTGTGTGGTCAGATGAGGCACAGCCTGCGTTTCAGTCTCTTCGAAAGTGTCTCACAGAGGCTCCCATTTTGGCATTGCCTGATGGAAGTCGACCGTTCCGCTTTATCCGGCTACGCCGTCGGCGCAGTTCTCACGCAGATAGATGAGCGAGAGCAAGAGCACCCAGTGTTTTATCTCAGCAGACAGCTGACTGAGACAGAACAACGCTGGCCTACGATAGAACATGAATGTTTTGCGTTGGTCCACGCATTACAGAAGTTTCGGCACCTCCTCGTTGGTGCCGATTTTGTCATACTTATACATATTTCGTCATACATAGCAATCATAAACCACTTCAGTATTTGCTGGAAGCGAAGGCACTGCACAATGCCAAACTCCAGCGGTGGGCCCTGTACGTCTCTGGCTTCCCCTCATGCCGGCTAGAATACACGTCGGGTAAGTCAAACGTCCAAGCGGATGCGCTTTCTCGTTTGCTTCCCAAGTCGTCTACACCCATGTCACCCCATGACTCATCAATCATGCCCACCACCTCATCGTTGCTCAGCGGTATGGCCTCACAACCCATTCACCAAGTGGTACCGCCTTCGCCTACCGGTGAGGCCTCACAACCCTCACGCCGGGTAGGCCCCATTATGCTCCATCACAACCCTCCTCACCCTGACACACTACCACACCCTACCACGACACCCCCTCCCACCATCCCCGCTACTGACACCGAGCTCGCTGCACTGCAGCAGGCTGATCCGCTTCTTGGCAAGATCATATCCACACTTTCCAACCCTGATGAAACTTCCATATGCGAGGCTAAGCTAGTTGAAAGCTATCTCTTGGTCGACTACTTGCTTTTTCATGTGCCGACTCGCGCGCAGGATGCTCACACTGCGCCCCAATTGGTAATCACCCATATTCTCGTACCTGCGATGCTCCCCTTGTTCCACGATCATGCGTATGGTGGACACCTGGGTTTCAACAAAATCTATAGTAAACTCTCCCAGCGATATTTCTGGACCCGCATGTTCACCAACGCTTACCACTACATCAAGTCATGCGTCGTGTGTAATTGTCGAAAACTAAAATGAGTTCGTGCCCCCCTACACCATGCTCCGACACCCAGACACTCAGGAGATGTGGTCGCCATCGATGTTACGGGTCCACACCCCTGCACAAACTCAAATAATCGTTACATGCTCGAATTTTTGGACCTTTACACCTCATGGCCTGAAGCATTCCCAATGTCCGATAAAAGCACTGCTACCGTAGCACGCATCATTGTCGACGACTTCATTTCTCATCACTGATGCCCTCGATCCATCTTAACCGATAATAGAGACGAATTCATTAACGAGCTCATGACACGACTGACCACATCGCTTGGAATCACTCACATTAAAGTCTCCCATTATCACCCTCGCGTGCTACATTAATCGGGATCATACAGATTGGGATACAAAGATCAACTCGGTCTTATTCGCATATCGTACAGCCGTCAATGAATCATCACAATTCACCCCTTCTTCCTGACGTATGGTAGAGACGCAGTGCTACCACTTGACACGCTACTGCGGCCCCGACGATTGTCATACGCTGATGATCCAGTAACTCACGCTACTGAACGCTTGCACCGAGCATTCGTTGCGATGCAGCGTAACACTAAAGTGGCACGTGCGCGTAACAAACGACTTTATGACAGACGCGCAAAGGTCCAGTCTGTTGACATAGGAGACCCAGTCTATTTTTTTAATCCCACGTTGACGGCTAATCAGACGCGGAAATTCGCGTCACAATGGCAGCCTTACTATACCGTGGTCGAGAAAATCTCTCCACTGCAACTTCGCATTAAGGCGCAAGGCCAGACACGTACTCGCGATGTACACGTGAGTAATCTTCGACTCGCATACCCATTCTCGGCATGGGACGAGCCTAGAACCGTGCTCACGGGTCGAGATGGCCCATCCCGACGACCAATGCGTCACGCGACGCTGGTTGACACAGGGCCCATTTCGTCGCCTCCCCACGACGACACGCATGCAGCCAGTGTGGCTAGCACGCCAAGCACTGATAGCTGGGATGCAGATGATTTGTTGCCACTCGCACAAAGTAGCCGATTGAGCCAAGGTGCGAAATACACGCCCATTATTTAACCAATACCGGCATAAGGATAGTTTTACGGCCCGACGACGTGCAGCGTGTGCACCGCTAGCACTAGTCTTGTTAATTGGTAGAGATAATCGTATTACCTTGTTCGTAAAGCGCACTATAAGTAAGACGCGCTTCATCTAAACGCATGTATTTGTCAGACGCCGTTTAAAGCGGCCGATTTGTAACTCTGTTTATTCCGCGGCTTATACGTGACCGCGTTCTACAATTTGTCCTGCGCCGCTAAGGCACTAACCAGGCAGTCATTGTTATATACTGTCCAGGCTATGACACTGTGCCACGTATTATGATAACCACTTAAACATTGTCAGGACCCCTCCAACAACAAACAAGGCGGGCGACAAGCCGATGAACGGCAACCACCTGCTCCGTCGGCGCCGCTTATTAACACCGCGTTATAACCACACAAAAGAAAGAATACGCATTGCTGCAGGAATGATTGCATATATCCTGGTTCATGGCGGTCCAGCTCTACAATTTTTGTCAGAAGTCACGTATTCAATGCTGTCGGGAACCCCGCATGTGAAGCCAGCTGATATCGCAGATCCCGATCTGAGAACACATGTGCAGCAGGTATTATATATTTCGTTTTATGAGTACTACCTTGGATACGCGATTAGCTGGCATGAATGTTTAGTGTAGCTCATTGTTATATATAACATTGGTAATGATTCACTAACATCTCATCGTATTTTGACGTTAAAATTATCCTCAGGACAGAAATCTGTTTGTACTGCAGGCTTTGACGATTACTAATGAAACTCTGTAACGTTACGCGATAATACAATTCTTCAGATAGCAGATGCCACAGAGCAGACTTTCGTTGAAGCTGTCGCAAAAAGTAGAGGACATTTTGGATTATATTGGGGGTATACCTCTAATCCAGTATGCCGAAAAGGATGAGTAGGTGGCAGCTCATACGTTTCCACATAGTCGTTGAGAGAAAGAAGAACATAACAGAGCAGTAAGTACATTACCGAACGTTGATCTGGTTTGTATTAATACTCCGACACAAATCGCAACCAGTTGGGTTAGGGTTAGGATCTTGGAAGGAATTACCAGATCATCACAGCGCAGAAAGTCGTTTTCTTGAGACAACTTCGTGAATTCTATCCGAGTTCAATTCATGAAAAAAAAAATTTGATTTCGGTTATTGTTCCTAGTGGAAATCTGGAAATTATCTCACCAAACCTATAAATGGCTTAGAGCGCGAGGTTTAAGCGGGTTACTTTAAAATAATGAAGTAAGATGTATACAGAACTGATAGTTTGGCTATCAACAACAGTATGACATCTACAAAAAAAATGATTATCCATATTAACCGATCAAAATGCAAACTGCCACATGCGACTCTTATTATGTTGTTTCAGATTCAAGGAAAGGTTAGCTAGCCTTGACTATATGATATGAGGTAAAAGCAAACCCAGACACCATGAAGAGTCTGTTCGTGCATAGCTCAGAAGAAACGCAGCTGGACTGCATACAGGTTGACACACTCATCACCGTATGCTTCAGTGAGGAAAGAAGCGAACGCTACCAGATGAATACGCACCTGTCAGCTTGTATGTGAGAGATTTACTACAAATGATTTGTTTTTTTTATTTGATTTTTTTTTTTTTGTGTTGTGTTATCAATATCTAACTCGCTCCCCCTCTCCTCCTCTGCCGCTCCTCTCTTGAAGAATTTGAGTATTGACTATTAAAACCATCTCTAAAATAAAAATAAAATAAAAATCCTTCTAGGTTATATTTGTCTTTACCAGAAGACAATAGACTCGCGTGAGATCTTGCATTTGTAACAGCCTTGACATCGCATCGCCACCGTCGGCTCTTCATGCCAACACCGAATCTAC